ACGGCGTCGGCGACGGTGCGCAGGCCGTCGGGCACGCGCGCCATCAGCTTGTACACGCACGCCAGCTCCGCCGTGCGCGTGTGCAGCAGCATGTGCACCACGCCAGAGTTCTCCATCTTGCCACACAAAATTCAAACTTATTATAGAGACTATTATAACGGAAGACCTTAGCCAGAACATCAAAGTACAATGCTAGGCAAAATCTGTGTTGGAATGGAGGGCATTAATCATCACCTCGACGATGGTCTTCATGTGGCGCTCGATGAGCTCGTGCTCGAGCACGGCAACGATGCGGGGCTCCGTGGTCTCGTCGAGGTAGTGCCGCGCGCGCTCCGCCTCCTCGCCGATGCGGGCCTCCACGCGGGCTATGTACACCGCCGCACTGTTCTCCCCCAGAAACTTTTGAGATTCCATCTATATACACAAACGTACACACATTATAGATATTTGTACTATCATATTATGGATATTGGATAAGAGAATCGAAATATAAATATCTTTCAAGGTAGTTCAGTGATAAATAATTTCAATGAATTGTTTAAATTAGCGTATTGTAAAGGAAATGACAGAGATATGAAAGTTTTACAGAAGGAAGGAAGAATCCAGATAACGTTAACAGTATTTTATCGTACATCATTAACATGTACAGGATGACGAAAGATAATGAAATACCACAATAGAACATGAGACAGAGAGATCTTACTCTATAAAACTCAGCTGACTGATGAAGGAAGGGCTTCTCGAAGTCCTCCTCGTAGACGGAGCGCGAGTTGATGCCGAGCACCATGAGCATTTGGCAGGCGTTGCGTATGGCCAGCCGGTCTACCACCTCGCCGCGCCGCTCGCGCGCCACCAGCTCCAGCAACGTTTGCCGAAGGTGGTCGCGGATGCACCCGTATCTTACTACCTGCACACAATAAACACCAATTCTTACACAATAACAAAACCCACAAGTGTATAACATAGGACAAGAACATAGATTAAAAAATATTAGCTTATAATTAAGTTATCACTTTTTACTTCTATCAATAAAGCCCAATGAATTGATTGTGACAAATATTTATATTACATTTTTTTTTACATATTTTAGTTAATTAATCACAAAAGAGTCACTGTTGTATGGTGTAAACACTGCACAATACAAGTTTTCACTACATCAGCCTTAGACATGTTCAGAAAACATACAAATCGGCTCATATTTAGTCCCGATGTCACTGCATGTACTTGTTTAGAGGTTATAACCAAATTATTTCCCTAAATTATAATAATTACAAAATTATGATAATTGTCTCATGAACATACCTGATCTCTGAAGATGATGAGTCCAAGATTATAAACATTATCAACATCATTTTGCTGCACATATACCCTGTCCATATACATAAGTATGTCCCGGATCATTACCATACTTGTTTGATGGTCCGTCCAGGCATAGTTTAAGGTCTGCAAGAAGCCATTGTGAAGGGAGTGCAACACATCTTCCCGTACCTAAAATAAGAGCTTATGAGGTTTAGCCCTACAAAAGATTGATAACTGGCATTCACTGAACATAATTAAATTTTTGATCAAAAAATGTAAACATAGCACTCTTTTAACATTTAAATTCAGAATAAATTACTACAATATTTAAGATCTTATTTGACATAACCATGAAAATTAACTTTTGTAATCTTACTAATGGAGCACTATGAAATTTAGCATAAATATAAAAAACATAGTCTGGAAGAACACATAGGCTACTAGTTATTTTTTTTTAATTGCGCGCAGACGGACACGGCAACGGCTAGTACAATTATAAAATTAATAAATAATTAAAACATACCTTATTTTCGAGATGATGAGTAACAACTTCTTTCAAGCCTGTATACAGCCTTTCCCCATGCTTGTGCAAGACCATAGTGTAGGCATTTCGATAGAGCTCCTCAAATGACAGTCCCGAATTATTTTTCTTTTGTATTTCCTGTATTGCATTCTTTAGTAAGCTCCATATACTTTCTACATACTTCTCATCCATTGTCATCTGTAAAAACCATACTATTTAACAATACCTACAAAGTTTATACTTCAAAAACATATATCATACACAAACACTAAAAAGCATGAGTTTTCTGAACGAAAGACTTTACAGTTTGATATATAATTTTATAAATATTCTTATTTCTTTACAATATACCCACCCATGTATCTGGATACATTTGATAATATGGTTCAGAATAGTTCCACACTTGAAATTTTCTTGTCATTTTGTGTTACTTATTTACTAAATGTTATGCAAAATTGTATAAATAACTAGATGCAAATACAAACATTGATATAACAAATACTATTTTATAGAATGTTTGGATTTCCACTGTTGTCAAAAATTATTATGATTGTGACATATTGAACACAAAAATTTTGTTGCAGCTTACAAATGTTTGTTTTCCTTTTTTGAATTTTTATGTCATTTATACATCAAAGATATAAATGACAATAACATTGTTAAAATAATTACAAATAAATAAATCAATCAAAAATATTATTTTTTAGCCTGTATTTTATATTTTACAATATACAAAAAAAAAACGAAATTAAACTGAAATTTAGACAAGAAAATTGGTCTATATAAACAGATTTAATTAGGTTCACTTTATTTTCAAAAATTGGGTAGTTTTGTATTTTGTGTATCATATAAATTTTAGACCACAATGCAATTTAGATATATAATAGAATATTTATGTAATTCATTTTTTATATCAACAAAAGTAGGTCATATAAAGTAATTCATATTCGTAAACAAGAGCTCCATGAAGTTATTAATATTACTTTCAGTATTTCAGTTTCAAAAATAAATAAATAGCTTAACCAAAAATAATCTGAACAATATTTATAGGATCAAAGCAAACATTAATTAACTTAGTCAGATAATCTCTTTATGAATAAAAAAGTATAACTGCAATCTCACTGCGATGTGATGTAATCAGTATTGTTCATGTTAGTAATAGTATTAAATTTAAACTAATTCAACAGACTAACAGTGCCCTTGATGACCCATCTGGGAAAAGTTATCGGAAAATTGCTGTTGAATATCTGGTACAAAATTGCGATACACTAATGAAGAAGTTTACAAGAAGATCCCATATAAGATATAACTTTTTCATTGGAGGGGTAGAAATAGATTGTCTCTTTGAAAAAAAAATTCTACATGTGTTTTGGTAGTTGAACCTCTTGAAAGACTTTCAGAGATCACATTCAAATCAAGTTTTTTCTTGCAATAATGAAAAATCTTTAGGAAAGAAAAAGTATAGGTAGTAAACACATGAAAATTTATAATATCATTTTACAATAAAGTTAATGTCTCTTAACCCAATTGAGATAACAATCGCTAGTTATTTTTCACCAAGTCTGGTTGCCATCTATTTATTCTTAATATAGATTGACTATTAACTTATAGAAATACAGTATACAGTAATATGACTAACAATATTGTTATTTACAAAACACGACATAGAAATGTTGATGGTAAATATATGTGTACTTACAGGAAAGGCTCTGATCCTCATCTTGCCTGGTTTGTCCTTCGGTAACGTATTTTTTAACATGCTCACTGCGTATGTTTTCAACTGACAAAGTACCTAATTCAACACTTCTTTGCTTTCATTTACAATAATACTTCATTGTTACTCTCACATCTGAAAACACAATTGTGGGCAACTGATCTTCTAATGTAATATGAGATAATGATTCGTAAGCTTGACCTTTAGCATTTATTCACTCAAATCACAAAATTGAATGAATAACAAATCAATCTTTATCCACGAATATGTGGATTGTTGAAAAATGGTTTTGGGAATTAGAGAATGCGATATGAAGTGACAAATAAAATATCAGGATCTCTCTGTCTCTCTCGTTGATTGTAATGGCAACAGCGCTATACAATGTGACGTTTCTTTTTTATTTAATTTTAACAGCATGTATATTTATATCACGTTTATAATGCAACTCACGTGTGGATAAACAATTTAACACACTTTCAGTAAAAACAATTGTCTGCTAAATTATTAATGTGGATTAATAATCCGTCTTAACATGTCTATTTCTTTCAATTGTTTCACTTCATTTCAGCCCACAGATTAAGTAAATGGGAATTTTAAAAACAGGTTTAGGTCAACAGACTATAAAAAATAAACGTTTTATTAGATAAATTCTTTTAGTTATCAATTTAAATACATTTTTAGCAACAAATGCATAACAGCTACATTTTTAATATCGTCAAGTAGTGATATATTTTTAAGTCTCGATTCACATAATTTTTAAGTCCCAATCGATTTATTCACTTTATTCGATGTTTTTAAGCTGCTCAGCTCAGCTCTACTATTTTGCCCCATCTAAATATCTAATGTTTATTTTTATCTAGTTTGATTTCAGTCCAACTCCACGTGGAAACGATACAACTTTTTGTGTTTTAAATTGATCTATCATTCGAGTCTTTGTTTAGGCAATCCATTATCACTTATTAGCATTATTTTTCCATAAACTCTGCTAGAACGAAACTCTCTTTAGAGATCTCATAACTCTTTTCTTCGCCACGAAAACCGTTAATCGAAATTCGCTCACTTCACTTTCTGCCTTATCTACATTTTATTTGTAAATTTTCTCCTTTACAATTGTGCTAATCAGTAAATATAAGCTTAGATAATATGAAGATGAGTGGGCATTAGAGGGAAAAAATAAAAATAAAACTTAAAAGAATTAAATAATCTATTTCCATAGGTGTAGCAAGTGTTTTTCCAAATAAATAATGCAACATCGAGGTTTTGTACTAGAAAGATTTTATTAGTTAAAAATTGTGTAGAGTTAGGAATTTTTCTATGCTTTATATCAATCTTAGGGTTCATAGATGTGAAACATACTAAGTACAAAGGTACTTAGTATCATCTTATGTTGTATGTTATATTTACTAGTTGTGTGTTCCAGTTACAAAAATTTACAAGTGTTAATATTCAGCAAGACTTAGCAAATTATCCTTCATTTCCATGCTGTTTTTATTAACATAAGATTTCAGTATCTTACATGTACAAGTTGTTGGGAGGTTTAATTTAAATAACAAATATGTGTGTCACTTGCATGTGAAGGTTTTCATACGATTAATAGATAAACGTATTTTGTTGTCTATGGTAGTGCATCTAGAAGGATTTATAGCCCTGACGCAGATTTACCGTAAACTTACTTTATTCTGAAAGATGGACAATCTAACCTTGAATTTGCAGTTATTATGTATATCGATATACTCGTAATGAACAAGACAATGAGGCGAACGACGACGGAAACGTATCCATTATAATATACTGAAGTTTATCCCTGTCCAAAATCTCAAGATAATTCTAAGTTCATAAAAGCTGTCGAAACGCTCACAAACGCTCGCAAAAATTATGTAAACGTGAGGAGAAAAGAGATAAAACGCACGATTTTATTTAGTCAATACAAAAAGAAATAACATAAGAAATATATTATGAACTAAAATATGTATGCTATAACAGCTAATTAATTTTAAATCATTACAACGAAATTAATATGATTTTAAAGATAAAATGTTAATTATATTTTTAGTCAATTGGCACAAGCAAAAAAGTAGAACGGATTTATTTTTTAAATATTGGTACCATCCAATAAATTAGTCAAGAAACAAGTCATACTAATGACAACACATTGATGGCATTTACAATATTTATTAGTAAAGATTAAGCGTATAACTTGCGACTAATAATCGTGTACTTAATAATCACTACTTATTTATTTTATTAAGTTTAAGTATACATTTATAAAAATATATTTTTTATTTTTGTAACACTATTACACGTATCACAATCTCAATTTAGAATAATTAAATGTCTTCTACAATGTAGTCTCTGGGGGAGGTCAGCAGGATGTTGGCCCATCTGAGGAGTAGTAACAACAGACATGCCGTTATGAAGAATGACACCATAACACGCAGGGTCTTCTCGGATCGTTGGTCACGGTCGCTAACACGTAATCGTTCTATCAGACCATTCTGTAAGAGAAAAACTACATAAGGACTTGACATAAATTAGTGCTATACTGTGGCCAATGATATGGGTTATTTTATTGACAGGCAGCCAATAGAAATAAAAATTTGTATAAATATATTAAAATAGATTTTGTCCATAGAAGTAAATTGTTGGATCTCACCCATCCCCCATGAGCAGCAATCCAAGAGCCGGTCTCTTCGTGCAGTACATCAGCAATAGCGGCGGCCGGCGCGGCCACTAGCTCGATCGGCGGCTCGCCTTCCGACGCTTCAGCGGCCTCTCGCGCCAATGCCCCGCATATGCAGTACACAGCTGCTATCTTAAATTATATTTATATTAAGATTTTATTTATTTCATTAAATACAAATGTAATTTTACATAGCAATAATAAGTTTAGGAATAAGAAAAATATAGCAGTAGTAGTTGTGCCCCCGACTTCGTCCGTCGGAGGTGAGGGGGAAGGAGTAGAAATAAAAGGAAAGGAGGAAGGAATTAAGTAAGAAAATAAACTTCTAATCTCTTCTATAATTTTAATTATATGGATTTAATGCTTATCATATTTCACCTTAGACCAGGTGATGTTTTCTCTGGTGACCCGCCTGGCGAGGGCTAGCGCCAATTCAGCAAGTGCAACGTCCGAGCGCAGCATGGTGGCGGGAGCGCGCGTGGCTTGACGCGCGATGTGGCGGAACGCATCGGGCTGCTTGCGTTCGAGCGCCGCGCATAACGCCCGTAGCGCCGCCAGCACGCCGCTCTCCAGGTTCGCCGACGCCTCCTCTCCGCACTCCGTCTCCAGCATTTGTTGGACACGTTTCATTACTATTTGCTGAAAAAAAAATTACACATTATTTGTTTATTTGAGATTCTAGTTCATCCTTATCGATCTCTGTTTTCAGGGGCGGTAGGTAAACATGCACCTATCGAAACTGGTATTTTTTTGACTTTTGACTGACTTAACTACATTAACAACGAACCTTGTTTGGGCATATAGATGATCTCCTAATTTGGGTTTTAATGTACTGCAAGCACAAGGCACGTCCTTGTCGGACTATTTGCGGTTTGACTTGTGTCGGCGAAGCGAGGCACCAGCCTATGGTGGCGGACAGCCGGCGGGACACTGCGGCCGCTGCCGCGCTCGAAACCATCGTGCTGAATCGTCTTCTTGTACGATCCAGAGGTGACAGCGAGCGAGGTGCTACGGTGAACGGTTTTCGTATCAGACGATTAGTAGAATATTTCTAATAATAGGATGGTGGATGATTTCCCACCAGGGCAGCACATTGCAGCATTAACCTTTATGGTAATGAAGTAGCAGTTCTATATGGTCCTACTGTTCTGCCTTACTGTGCTGCTCTCGTGGTAAAGTGGCTTAAAATAGTTGTGGTAATCACCAGGTCCGACTAGGCCGCCTTCAGCATTGGGCATGCCACTGAGCGGGCTGCTCAGCTTTCTGCGCGGACGCAGCGGCGGTACCATCTCGTCATCTTCTTCGCCATCGGGTGGAGTGACATGTATTGCTATGTTGTTGCCCTCTTGAATTCTCCTTCCATCCGATTGCCATCTTAATTCTTTTGAAGCCCCTATCTGAAAAAGAATAATGATGATTTTGATAATCAATTCAAGGGCAATTTAAAAATTAATCACATAGATGACAGCAATGGCTTTATTCTTTAATGTATATAAATGTAAATAATTATATTACTTCACTAATTATTCTGTTCTTAGATCACAAGATAAAATGACAAAGAAAATGTAACATACACCAAACACACAATGTCCAATTAGCTTTATAGGAGACGTATTGTCTTGTCTTACATGTTAGGAATGGACGAGATTTAGTGATAAAGTGACCAGCATTTCAGAGTCCTTAAATTTGGAGATTATCATTACGTTAGTTCTTATTTTGTAGCTAAATTTTTTTTTTAATACTAATGTAAAACTAAATAATAAAGTAATGTATTACTTTTTAGAACTCATAATTATTTCTATGATTAACTGTTTTCTGTTGAATAGAAGACATGAAATTATGTCCTGTTGAGTTGGAGTAGGTCCTATAGAATATCCTGACCGATTTATCAAAAGAACTGAGCTGATATTCGATACGTATTTCTTCCTAGTTCATATTTATTTAATTTACTAACTATTCTGGTATTGGTCTGTATATGGGAAGATATAATATTAAATTTATAAAAGAACAAAAGAAATAAGACAATGAGTAAAGTTACGCGCAGATTAAGACGAATGTCTCTTTAAGTAGTTGAACAAAGAGATTACGCTAAGAACAATGTACGTATAGAACAAATACCCAAAAAGAATTTGGTCATTATCTTAGTGACGCGTTACTAATGTTACAAATAAACTCATTACTACAAAAGAATGACAAGTCTGATGAACGAAAAGACACAAAAAGCGAGAAGTCGCCTACAGTTTATTCAATTCTGAGTTCATTAAAACGGTACAGCTTTAAATCTGTACTGTTTTTATATATTGTGTAATCTTCTATAATATAAAAATGAATCGCAAAATGTGTTGGTAAGCGCATAACTCAACAACGCCTGGACCAATTCGGCCAATTCTTTTTTTTTAAATGTTCGTTAAAGTTCAAAGATGGTTTTACGGCGCCAAAAATTCGAATAATTGCCGGGAAAAAAATATATTTTTTTCATTTTATGCGGGCGGAGACGGCGATAGCTAGTTAAATATACAAATATTGACCCAAAAATCATACTGCTGGACGTAGACCTCCCCCATCGATTGCCACAACGCCCGGTCCTATGGCGCCTGCATCATTCGTCCTTAAAATTGAGCTATCTTCTATTTTTCACTTCCTTCATGATCATGTTCTTTTAGCGCAATTGTAACAATCATCAAGACGTTATTAGAAATTGATTGTATATATCCAGGACACTGTAAGTATGTCGTGGGTATATTGCCTATTGAAAGTCTTGTTCAATGCAATTGAATAGTTGTCGTTGATGTCTTGATTGTTCGTGTACAATGTGATCTATTCTAAATGCTATAAAATAGAATTGCCAAACGTCTTTTAATCTTGTAGGAAAAGAATTAAATATACTGTTATCTTCTTTTATATTAGAAGAAAGAATCTGACTGGATAAAAATATATTTTTGTACGGTGTTTCATTATTCTTCTCAACATTTTCATCCTACGGTATTATTGGTTTTTCTTCCAGCAAATTTAATTGTATAAAGTCACTAATTACTTTCTCGTATCTTCGATAGACGATATCTTTATCTCTATTTCATCAAGTGTTTCTATTCATGTTGTTTTTTGTTTTAAGTTTTTTTTTAATAATCAAGTTTTCCTTAATCGATCAAGTTACGTGAACAATATAATTATAATAATAACTATTTATAGAATAAAAACTCCATCATGCGGTGTTAATGGATTTTTGCATTATTACGTAGCAGTAGTTGAAAATAAAATGCTATATCGTTATAATCGTCGATCTTTTTTTGGAAATCTATGATCCCACGCTAAATTTTCTTATGTTCGCAGTTTTCTTTGTCTTTATTAATAGTTTATGTATTATACAGGTTTGTACATGGGTAACATTAAACTTTAATTATTTCCAAGGATGTATAAAATAAATAAGTAAAAAAAAATACGCAACTAATTTTATCTTTCAATTTATGTACATTCCTCGAAATGGTTTAAAACCGATAGTTTTAATGGAACGGATTCGGGTAATTACCACTGCAAAGCAATGATTAATGGGGAAATTCGTAGTTAATTTAGATATACTAAAAACATAGTAAGTGTGAGTGTCTGTAAGTCATATCGAAAAATAATCGTACACATAATGTATTTGCGTTGCTGTTTACGAAAAAACATTTTTTTTTATCCGTCTGCCTTCTGTACGTCTGTTCGCAAGGCCGCGTTTTTCCTAATCACAGAAACGATTTTGACTGGACTTTAACGGGAAAGTAGCTGATGCATGCAGACATTATATTACTTTTTTCAAATTCTGCGGTGATGAAATTCGATAACGACCGCTAGTAAAATAATAGGTAAGTGACTAAAGTGATGGGTCATATTTTAACTAAGTAAAATATGCTAATGATATTGTTGTGAGACTTAGGAATTAAGTTTTATCTAGATCACTAATAAAAATGCCACGCAGGCAGCGTAGGATCCGATCGAAGCGATGATGACCCTGGCTCCCGCTGCGTTTGTAATGTTAATTCACTCGATCAATGCTACTGATAAACGTTGTCACTGGAATACTCAATCGAAGCCGCTTGAGGAAATTTCAGATGTAACATTATGGGCCCATGAGTCAATGCTAGTATCACGTTACATCGAGATGCTTCTTTGATAATTTATTCTGAAGCTTTGATGACCTTTTTGAGGTTACATATGTATACCATATGTAGCATATTTATTAATTTTTATTAAAGAATAATATATTTATAGAAAACTATTATGGCCCATCATTTAGACAGTAATTAAAATAAAAGTTAATATACTTAAGAGTGATGAAAATTGTTTTCTTGAAGGTTGTTTTTTTTCTGGTACAAACAGAAAAAAGCACTTATACTGTTGCAGGAAATTGGATCTGGATTAACACATACAATTTTATAAGTGAATTTCCATCGTTAAATTCAGAGTAAATATTTATATTAAAATAAAGGCAATACTTGGTTATCCAAATCAAGCTACGATTCGAGAAACCAATCGATTGATTTAGTTCGGAGAAAGTTAGGAATATACTCAAACATAGTAAACCCACATAATATTTCGATAAGTAATCAGAGGCTTATATAAGGTTAGGAGCTAAATAAAATATTACATACATGTGAATCGCACTAAGTATAATTTGCGACGCTAAATGTAATTTAATTTCCACGTATTTCTTGGCAAGGCTGGATATTGTGTGGGAAAATTGTATCACAGAATGGATAATGAATGTGCAAGAATATTAATATTCAAAAACACGTCGCTACACCGCACTGAGTCTAACTGCAGCTAGGTACAAAATAGGACTGTACTTGTAACCCATATTATAAATTACGCTTTCACTGCTGTGGATTGGAAGGCATTGAGTTATTTTTAAGCCTATAAAACTATACTTAGGTACTTAAGAAATATGTTTCTAATTAATACATTTTAAATAGTGCGTTTCTGAGATCTTTGATGTTCTTTGACAAAACAGATATAACAATATATTTGATGTCAAAGGGGGTTTTCGTCTCAAAACCCCACGGTAAATGATTCTGAGTGTAACACTATTTCAGTTCCGCTAACGGTTATGTTATTTATCAACATTGATCGACTATACGCTTTATCATTGTACGATATCAACTGATAAGTTGTATTGTCATAAAATATCTATGCAAATAAACGGTGAATCATTAGTTCAACTTCATTATATTCAAATGTTCAACTTAATAGTTGCATATAAGTGGAGTTTCATCATAAAGTATTGACCATTTTTATATAGAACTAGCTGTCAACCGCGACTGTGTCCGAGCGGAATTAAAGAAAATAGTAGTACCGTACGTGTTCTTCCAGACTTCGTTCTAATCTATGCCAAATTTCATCAAGATTCATTGAGTCGTTCTGGAGATACCTTCTAACAAACATCCATCAATCCATACATCCAAACATTCGCATTTATAAAATTAGTAATGTGATAGTGTAAAATTTATGGTATAAAAAACGCACACGTTTAAATTAATTTATTGAAGGACAACATATTTTAATATGTTTAAGGAACATAAGAGACAGATAATTTATTTTTCTGCTTGAAACATTTTATTACTTTTGTTGTCACACATTTCTCTCGTAATTTTAACAATGCTGGCGTAAGTAAAATAAATATGCTTAATGCAACGCTGCAATTTATGGGTATTTTTAAAATAAAACCAACATGGATACATAAACCCTTTATCGGTGCGACCTCGAGCATAAATCGCGAGCCAAAAACCTCGCCAACAAGAGTTCCTAATTGGATTTTGTGTCTCCTCGTATTTCACCCTTGAATGGAGGTAGTTTATAAAAAATATTTCTTTACAAATTGACATACATTTATCTCCATTTAAAAAAAATCATATACATCTCACATAAAACAACTAAAAAGATACTCACCTGCTATTTATCGTCAGTGTTGTATGGATACATTGTTAAAGGACAAATCTTACTTATTTCCGATTTAATTTTCGCAATAGCCTGCAAACTTATTGATCGTTTGACTTCTGATAAAAATCTGCTTCTTAATTACCACCCGATTAGGTATCATAATAAATTCTTACCATTTATGAAATCAGAATTTAACATTATAAAAGAATAGCAGGTGCCCGCGGCTTCGTTCGCGCGAAGTTAAAAAATACAAGTAATAAATTAAACTTATGTTACCTTGGGATAGAATGGTTTTCTCAAAAGTGTAGAAATTTTTCCAATTGATTATGTTTTGTTCAATGCAAAAAAAAACAAAAAAATCATCAGTGCAACGAATGGCACGTTTTTTTTAATGTGGGAAAACAATAAAGCTGAATTAATGTATTACATCGATTCGTTTTTTACACGAGCTTATCAGTGGAATGTACGAATTGGAAGCATTAAT